CTCTCTCTCTCTCTCTCTCTCTCTCTCTCTCTCTCTCTCTCTCTCTCTCTCTCTCTCTCTCTCTCTCTCTCTGTGTATGTGTGTGTGTGTGTGTTTTCTTCCATCTCTGGCCCTCTCTCTCTGTGTTTCCGTCCCTCTCTGCCCATCTTTCTCTCTGTGTTTTCGTCCCTCTCTCTCTCTCTCTCTCTCTCTCTCTCTCTCTCTCTCTGCGCCTTCCTCTTTTTCTAGTTCGGTCTCTACGTCCCAGTGTCACACACGCACAGGCACATCAGGGAAAAATGGAAAAGGACAACACACGTACATAATTAGGGGTTTAAGAGGGGGGGGGGGTGAAGGAACGAACAGAGAAGAGGGGGAATTAAACGAGGCATCATGTTGACCATGGGACACTGGACGGGTCTTCGAGCAGGTGTTGCTCCTCACCTACAGATTGGAGCCAAAAAAAAAAACAAAAAAACGGAGACTTCCAAATAGACCGCACATTCTTAATTTCTTACCAAACTCAGACAAGAGAAAAGTTCAGAAAACAAAGGACCTCGCTCCACTCGCTCAGTGTCCCCACCAAATGAGCAAAATGAGACTGAATCTTCCGCTAGAACATGGGAAGATACACGGCCATTTTTTTTAACTTTATTTTTGTGCGTGTAGTGAGTAGGGGAGCGAGGCCCAAAGGAACGGAGAAATAAACGAGACTTCCATTTTGTGAGAATTTCCCGAGAACCGACGGAGCGTAGCTCTGTTGAAAAACAGACCAGGTTCAGAGTTCGAATCTGATTGCCATCTGGATTCGAACTCTGGTCTGAAATATAGACCAGGTTCAGCGTTCGAATCCAGATTGCGATCAGATGAGCAGAGTAAAACAAGAACAAAAAAAAAAAAAAAAAAGAAGAAGAAGAAGAAGAAGAAGAAGAAGAAAATTTGGTCTGGTCAGTTCGATGATGTTATCTCAAGTCCGTCGCCGTTTTCTTTTCTTTTTTCAAAAAAAAAAAAAAAACTTGTTTAGTTTCGAGAATGAATCTTCCGCTAGAACCTGGAAAGATACACCGCATAATTTTTGTATTTTGTGGATGTGGAGAGTAGTGGAACGAGGCCCTAAGGCTCGGTGGTCTCATTTTCCGAAATTTACTCACTGTGCAGGAAGGCAGACGAAAGAGCGCTGATAGAAAAAGAGGAAAAAAAAGAGAAAAAAAAAAGAGGAAAAAAAAAGAAGTAAAAAAAAGAGGGGAAAAAAAGGGAAAAAAAAAAAGAATGGTGATAGATGACGAAATACAACATCAAATGAGATTCGAAACTCCCCCCCACGCGAATGGCGTGGTAACACCGAATGGTCGGTGAAATTTCAGGCGAACTGTCATTGCCAAAACAATGAAATCGATGATTACAATGATTACAACGGAAAAAAAAACAATGTCCGGAGGGACGAAGCTAGAACGCATATATAGACGAAACAGTTTGTCACAGCCCCTCGTTTGTTGTCCTCTTCTCTCTCTCTGCCTACGGTTTTACCGGGCATTTCTGTTTGTGACGATGTATATATATATATATATATGTCCTCTTCTCCCTCTCTGCCTACGGTTTACCGGGCAGTTCTATTTGACGATATATATATATACTGGGCAGCGCTCTTTGACGATATACACGGTGTGACGATGTAGACCGTATATAGCTGTGTGAAAGTGGGTCGATATGACACACGGGGGTAGGGGCAGCCGCCGCTCAACCTACATCCGCGTGGGCGGCCTTGTACGCAAGAGGTTCTGAACAGGGGGAGTTGTAAGAAAGAAGATAAAAAAACGAATTTTTTTCTTTTCTTGTTTTCTTCTTTTTTTTTCGCCTATGTGACGATATATATATATATATATTGTCACAAGAATATCATATATATATATATTAAACAGAGCTTCCCGGTAAACCGTAGGCAGAGAGGGAGGGAGAGAGAAGAGGACAACAAACGAGGGGCTGTGACAGACAAACTGTTTCGTTGGAGTTTCACCGACTATATAATATACCGTATATATATATCGTCACATGAATATCATGTATACAGTTTGTCACAGCCCCTCGTTTGTTGTCTTCGTCTCTGTCTCTGCCTACGGTTTACCGGGCAGTTCTGTTTGTGACGATATATATATTATGTGTAGGCTGCGTGCAAGTGGGTCCTTGTGACACACGGGGATGGGGGCAGCCGGTGCTCAACCTGTCATCCTTTTTTTTTTTTTTTTTTTTTTTTTCGCCTTTGCGCTCCGATACACGGTGTGTCGATAGAGACCCCTACCTGATTATACTGGAAGTGATAATGATTAAGTTAAACCCCGGTTGTGGTTAAGCATCAACGACTGCCCGACAACTGATACCTCTCTGAGGAGGTGGTGGGGACCACCAACCACTGCCCTCAAGGTACCTGTGATGAATATCAAAGCAGATTATCACTCACCCACACCGGGGCCAAGTCCCACTAGCAGCGTTGAGCTACCTCAACGCCTGAATCTGGACGTTTTTGCGGACATGTGCAGAAATGGTGTTGAGTTTCCTGAACTGCACGTCTCCACAAACACGTCCAGATGCAGGTATTGAGGTAGCTCAACGCTGCTAGTGAGACTTGGCCCCCGGAGTCTGGAGAACTCAACAGACTGCAGGTTCACACTTTTTTTTTTTTCTTTTTTTTTCCGGCCTTTAGGCTAAGGTCAAGTGCACTGTATCTGTTCGATCCATGGTCCATTGGAACACCCCCCCAAAAAATGGAAAAAAACAAAAAAATAGAAAAAGAGAACTCAGATTTTCCTCTTTTTTTGTTTGACGGCACGTTGGGCTTTGATTGGGGAGGTAGAGGGACGGCCTGGCCCAACTACGCAACACTCTACATGCATTTGGACGCTTCCTGGACCGCGTACATCCAAAATTTTGATTTTTGACTCGTCGGAATGCACCTGGTTCTAAAAGTGGCAAAGTGCATGTAGAGTGTTGGCCATACATTCAAAGCGTTGGACTCTGACCAATTCAGCTGATCCAAAATTTTGTCCAAATTCATGTAGATTGTTTTGTAGTGGAAGCGTCAAGATAAATGTAGAGTGTTGGGCATATACATTCGAACTGTTGGACTCGGACCAACGTACCTGGTCCAATCTGCTGTCCAAATTCATGTCGAGTGTTGTGCAATGGAGCGAGGCCCATAAGTCACTTACGATTTTATTAAATAGTTTTGCTCATTTGATTATGTGATTGCGCTGTGTATCTGGGGCGAGGTCCCACTAACGAAGAGGATTGGATTGAACGCCTGAATCTGGACGTTGTTTGTAGAAAGGTGCAGACTAACCGAGATTGAACTGCTTTCTGCATCTCTTTTTGAAACACGTCCAGATTCAGGAGCTTAATCCAATCCTTTGTCCTAGTGGGACCTCTGCCCTGGAGTGCAGACTGGCTGAGTGTGAAGAACCGTAGCACCTGGGGCGAGGTCCCAACACCCAACAAGCAAAGAGCACGAATCTGGACGTCTTTCTGGACAGGTGCAGAAAATGGCGATTGACCTGCTATTTTCTGCATCTCTGCACCAAACACGCCCGGATTCAGTAGCTTAATCCAATGCTCTTTGCAGCTTAATCAATGCTAATAGAACACCCGGCCATTATGCCCGTATTTGGGCCAACTTTCAGTCCAGATGCAGCCATAATTACAGGGCGTTCTATTCGGATGCAGACAGTAGTGCGACCTTCCTCGTGGGATTCGGGCCCGGGTGGGACGCTCCTGCTTCCTAACATTTCTTTTTTTATTCTTTTTTTTTAATTATTATTATCATTATTATTATTATTATTTTTTACATACATATATATACAGCACACACAGGGGCGCACACATCCTCACCCTAACCTGCAACTGCTCCAGGTCATTGACCCTATGGGTACCTCGTGTACTTCCATGCCCGCCTCTACGCCTATCTCTGTGCCTGCCTCCGTACCTGTCTCTGTGCCTGTTTCTATGTTTGTCTCCTTCCAGATTACTGACCCTATAGGTACCTCGTGTACTTCCATCCCTGCCTCTGCACCTGTCTCTGTGCCTGCCTCCGCACCTGTCTCCATGCCCGTTTCTGTGTCTGTCTCCATGCCCGTTTCTGTGTCTGTCTCCATGCCCGTTTCTGTGTCTGTCT